ACCTTCCCCTGCTTCAAAAGCCACATTTAAATGCATGAGCCACAATTTGGCCACTACTGACATAGCTTTCTGTCTTTCAAAACACAAATGAATGGGTCTCTGCTCCTCTTCTAAGAGTTTACAACAGTTGTGGGGCAAGAATGATGCAGAGAGAACTTGGCAGGAAAGGTGGTAGCCTGCTTTTCTCTATTTAAATTGTAGAAATTAAGTAATATGGGGTCTTTGATATATATCAATGTTTTAAATATACCAACTAACTTTCAGGCCTGAAAATAAATAGTTCCAATGCAGAACACATCTGACTGCAAAATACATTACTACTTCGTATTAAGGGGTGAACAATGACAGGTCTGACCAGCAAGTCAGGACCTGGACTTCACCTGTGCTCTGCCAATGTCTGGGACAAATCATTTATTCTTCCTGTACTTGTTTCCCTTCTTCCCCTTTGCTTATTTAAATTATAAGCTCTCTGGGTAAAGGACTGTCAAAACAGGTGTCTGCATGATACCTAGCACAGCTGAGACCTCTAGACACTACGGAGATACAAATAAAAAAAATGTTTCATTAAACAAAGTTACTGCATTACAGCTAATGTTGATCACATAAATTATCACTTAATATAAAAGAAGCACCTAAGCAGGAGGGTAGACAAGAAACACAGTTACTCATCTACGTTTCAGATAGAAAGGGCATGCTAAGCTAGAAAGGAAGAGAACTCAAGTAAGATGGGACTGCTGTGCAAAAAAAGAGTACTTAGGCCAGAAGGAAAGGGAACAGGCTAAAAGGTAAAAAGATTAAGTTAAATAGATGAAAAGACAAAAAGAACAAGTGCATAAAGGAGCCTGAAAAATTAACAGAAACTGTGTACCCATATCTGAAAAAAATAGGGAACCAAGACTCCAGGCAATGCATATGCAGAAAAGAAATAACCCACCACATTTTAAAACAGATGAAAGTCAAGTCTTTGACACAAAGAATCATTATACTAGTTCAGATGAGATGAGAGGGCAGGAATAAATATTATTAGAGGAGAAGGTTTTAAGTACAGGAAAGAGATTTACACACCTGGGATATGAGGAAAGTGAGAGGAGAAGGTCAGGATGAGTTTCTGACAAAAGGTACAAAAATCAGGATTTATAAAGAGGTGAATATTAAATTGGAGCGAGATTAAAGAGGTGCTCATTTGGCTGAAAGGACTGCTATCAATCAGCAGAATCTAACTTCTGCATAGATTAAGTTGAAGTAACTCAAAGCACATACTACAAGCACACACACCTCTCTCTTATGGCAAATCTGTCTTAATAATTAAAAAGAATGAGTTAACTGTAAAATTTTAAATAAACTTGAATATTTATCATTTTGAACACCACTTTGGGATCCAACAGCCAAACAATACTGCATTTCTACTACAATGTTATTTCATTTACCAAGGAATATGAAATCCAGGAAATCTTCCAAATATTGAGTATGTTAGAAAGTAGTTGCTAAGAAGAGAGAAATCTTGCCCCAAATGATTTTTAAGACAATGTGTTATGCTAAGTTTACAATGCATTTCAAGCATTTCATTTAATAACTAAAAATTAAAATGGAAGACACTGAAACTCCAAGAAGACCAACAAAAAGTACCTTTGCCTGTAAGTTTGTATATGCTGAGTGAAGGAAACTGCACTGGTCAAAGGCACTTATGTCCATATAACCATGTGCACATTATGGCTTTTTGTAGCATAAAATTGTCAAAAAAAGGTCACATTCCTAATCAATCTTGCTTTACTAGCAAAAATTGCTAGCTAAAACAGATACAAGGGTTCTGATTTCATGGTCTTTGCAAAGCTTAAGTAAGATTTCATGTGCACAGACAAGCATCAGTCCTCCTTCCCACCATTCTTGTTATCTCTTTCCACTGATGTGGTAGAAATCTTCTCTCATAACTCTTGGGGAAGTCAAAAGAAATCCTGCTCCTGAAATCAAGAGCTGCAGAGAATGAAGAGACAAGATACAGAACTAACTACTAATTTACTGAAAGAAAACTAATTTTCAATACAAAGAATCTCTTGAGCTACTCCAACAAGGTAAAAATACTTTAGAATTTGTAATCAGTATAAACCTGCAGTGAAACACTTGAGCTTGCTGGTAACACGGTATTCCTCCTGCTGCCCCCACCCCACTTCCCTCCAGGGCAAGGAATTTAAGCCACCAAATTTGGAACGCATTTAAAAATTCTAAACTAAAAACACAGCACATTCTATGGCATTAAAACAAAAACTACATTCAAATAGAAGAGACAAAGCATCCAAGGCTTCTGAGGTGTAGCACGGGAAGGAAAAGACTACATATTTGATCAGACTTGCAGAGTAGGGGGAGGGTTGAGGTGGGGTTTTTTTGGTTGCAACTCATACAGAAATTTTACTTTCAGATCTCCAGTCCATCAAATCCACATTTTCAGATGTAGACTCAAAACCAAATAAAGTTAATAATGAGAGAAACCAACTAAAACCATGCCTCTATACACCTGCATGCAAAGCCAAATGGCACAACTATGTATAAAACTATAGCGTAAAAATACAATGTTCCTAGTAAGTATGCAATTAAGGTAAAAAATGTTCCCACATACTTTTGATAACTTAGAAGTGGGGACAATGCATTAAATTCTATAGTTGGGATTTACCACAATACACACAACTTCCACTAATTCAAAGTTAGTTTGAGAGCAAAGAGAGAAAAAAAACACTCTTGATGAAACTAAAGTTGCTGTTTATGGACACAGGAAAGCAAGACAGCAAAGGCAATAGGAACAGAAGACTACAACCCTAAAACCCTAATATACTTAATACAGTATTCCCAAACCCATAAAGTTAATCCACTACCTACTTTCCCAGGATAAAGAAAAGTCTTCATCAATAATCATTTTGTGCAACTATGTGAAAACAAATATCATTATCAAGACCCTCTCCAGGTTGGACTATGGAAAGCTTAGGGTTAGGCAGGCTACAAAGAAAGTGTGCTCTGTTTTATGCACATCTGAATTCCTGAAATTGTCCAACTAGGTACAGTAAAAGTCTCACCACACCTATATAGTAATTCCTCAACTATGAAACAACTCAAGAGATCCTGATTAAAATGTGCAAGATAAGTCAATATCTGCACCTGTTATATACTCCTACACAAACAATATTCTTATACATTGAATCTGACTGAAAATAAGGTCCTGCCTTTCCAGCTTTTTTCTCCTTGTAAAGAAAAATCCTTAAGTGAAATTCTGAGCTAACCCTATAACCTATAGCAAGATCTACACCAGGGCAAAGAATTAAATGTGAATAGTACTGAACTTAAGTATTCACTTTCCAAGTCTGATATTAAAAATCAACAAATGGGTTGGGTCAGAGAAAACTTCCTTCAACCCCCTTCATCTAGTTTACTAGGAACTGGACCTGCTGACTTCAAAACTACATTAATCACCTGAATTCTTCAGCCCACATAATACTGCCTCTATCGAACCTGTGCCCTAAAAGTTCTCTCTAAGCTAAAAAAAATTACACAGAACTGATTAACCATTTATTTATGCAGAAGAAGGAAGAGAAACAAGAAGAAAACTTTAAGATGACTGCAGTTAAACTAGTGTTCAACCACAACAGGTCATTTAAGCATCTTGTTTACTATCAGGTGGCCAACCATTTTTCACTCTTCATTTTTATGGCAGTGCAAACAACTGAAATGAACAAGACTGGTGGCCATCAGGAACAATGCAAACTTCTGCATGTGAGACAGGGAGGGACAGAGTCCCCAGAATTCCACTGCCCAGAAAAACCTAAAAGTGAATTTTAAGAAACTTCTGAGAGCAGGTGGCTTGGTGCTTTCATAAAGTAAAATGATCCCCAAAGATCATCTGCTCACCAGAGGTTCATTAAAAAGCAGACACCTCACTGGAAACTTCAAGAACAACTCATTCATGTTTGCTGACGATTGGGACACTCAAAACTTGCATCCTTTAGTGATATTGCTTCTCTGTTGTGACATTTCTACATAGCAGTCTTCCCCCCCTAAAACACCATCATTAAAAACCCTTGCAAGATTGCAAAGAACACCCTCTTCATCTTCTCTACCTGGTAAATCTGCATGGGAATTTCAGACATTTTAGTCTCAGCAGCAAAGAAATGGGAGATGCAGAATGAACTGCGCTCCATATTGATTCTTAATGCAAATAAGGTAAAATACTGCATGTTTGTATGAAGATATAAATGCTCTTGGTGAACCCACATACCCCATAATCTTTATTTTAAACAGAAATTGAGACAGGTAAGTTTGGAAATAATCAAAGAAAACAGCAGAATACCTCATCTTTAGAGATCCTTGTGCAAGACAGAAAAAGTGAAAAGGAACGGTTAAAAAGTCAATAATATAATCAAAGTGAAACAAGGGGGGAAATTGAGAATGGAAGAGAATTAAACCATTTGCTAAAAAAATCTGAATGCTATGTAAAAACCTTACACACAAGCCACAAAAACAACCCCTATGGGCTGACCCTGTGTTTATTTGCACACGCACACACACACAAACACACACAGAAAGACACCCGAGAGAAATGCAACTAAGATGCTGCATGTGTGTACTATTGCCTATGCCTGCAACTAGAATGGAGATAGAGAATAAAGATCTCTGAAAGAATTACGGCTACAAAATGGATGGGGGGAAAAAAAGGAGAAAATTAAGGCTTTTCTGCAAATGGCCAAATGCACGAGACAGCCAGCTTAGGTTTCTAGCCCTTCCAGTAAATAAAGAGTAACAACAATTATCCCCCTCCAGTGAGATTAGCACAGAAGAGATGCAAAGAAAGGGGGTGCAGGGAGGGAACACAGAGGTAAAGGGAAAGGAAGAGAGTGCAGAGCGGGGTGCAGGCAGGGAAGAAGTAAAACCAAAGGTAAGAGGAAAGGGAGAGACAAAAACAGCTCTGGGTATACAGCTGGGGCAGTAAGAGGGTGGGGGCCTGGGCCCCTGAGACTGACCTGTGCCATCGCTGGCGGACACGGAGAGCGCCGGTGAGGAGAGTTTAGGCCGCTTGGCTGAAGACGGGCCCGGCTCCACCACATTCTCGGCCATTTTTAATTCTTTTTTAGACAAACAGCGCAGGAGGCTGGGGGGGAGGGAAGGGGGAACCCCAAGATCAGCCCCTTTCTCTCAGGGCCCCGATTTGGCTGAACAACACCACCACGGAGAGAGGGGCAGGAGGATCTGGAGGAGATGAAAGGGGGGCAAGTTCCCCTTTTTCTGCCCTTCGGGCTCAGTCTCTAGGCGAGTGGCAGCGGAGACGCGGGGCAAATGCAGGCAGCGGGGTGGGGGGGAGAGAAGGGAAGCCTTCCCCCCCAGGGCCAAAGGGCAGCTGCGGATGAGAAGAGCAGCTGGGAAAGCCCCCACCAGCAACAACGCTGCCAAAAATTTTTTTAAAAGAGATTAATAATAATAAATCAAATTTAAAAAAAAAAAAGAATCAAGCTGCCAGAGGCCGTGTCTGATCAATCCCAGAGGGTGCACTGCTGCTGCTGGTGCTTCTTCACAGCCACCATCATCTTCATCATCCTCCGGGGGGTCTCCTCCTCCTGCTGCTGCCTCTTCACCGCCGCCATCAGCCTCTTCCTCCTCGGCGTCGTCCTCCTCCTCCTCATCGCCACAAGGAGGCGGGCGAAGGAGGGGAGAGAAGGAGGGGGGGGAAAAGAAGAGGAAAAAAAAAAAATCACCGTCCTCTAGCAGCGCCTTCCCCCTCCGACGCCGCCCTGCGAAAAAGCCCCGCGGCGGGGCCGGGGAGGGCGGCGCGTGTGCGGGGCGCCCGGCTCCCCGCCGGGCCAGGCACTAATGGCTGCAGCGCGGGGAGGATGAGGAGCGTCCCAGGAGCCTCCGCTTCACATCTTGCTGTGCGGGCGCCGGAGCCGTGGCGGTGCTGAGGGGTCCGGCCGGGGCGGCGGCGGGCGTCGCTCGGGGTCTCGGC